CATCTTAAATATTGAGTTCATCTTCTACCTTATTTTTTGTTAAGAAGTTTAAGCATCTTTCAGAGAACCATAGGTGCTGCCTTCATTACTTAAGACTGGATCTAGAGCCCCATCATAGGCTTCAATATTCCCTTCTCATGCAAGCCCTGAATTTTCCCATCCCAACTCAACTACAGTTTTTCACCCTATATCCTGGTTATCTTACCTTTACAATGAAATGGTCTCATTGCTCACCCTGAGGGTCAGCTTAATACTGGCTATAACTGCAAGAGCCATTATACCTCTTTTCTTGGGGGACTAGAGGCCTGCAAGGAATATCCTGCCTATCACCACTCATGAGAATGCTATCTGATTGTAAACAATTTCACTAGTCTCTTCCAGTCTCTCCAGGCACAATTTGGTCTCTTGAAGGGAATCAATCTTGTAGTGTCTTCACCACCTAAGCTCTTAGCTTAGAAACAAAAAGGAGATGGCCTCTGGACTCCCAAGTCTCTTGAGATACTTGGTTTATTATACCCCTTGGGCCTAAGCACATTCAGAGGTTGTAAATTAATGTCTTCTTACATTGTATGTGATGAGAGCTAGAAGGAGTGGGGGATACCAGAAAGATGCATGTTTATGATTTAATTAGGGTGTCAACATTAACATTCCCATATGTCTCCAGATAGTCTAAAGTAACTTACCTGAATCTTATTTAGTTCTGAAAAACAACTGAAGCTCTAGGATATTTTTTAGTCATGTTCCTGTTCTTGAATCACCCATGAACTTTACTTCTTTGATCAAGTACAGAATATTCATTATCCCCCTCTACAAAAGAATCACTAATTACATTTTGGTTAGTGCGTTATGCAAATAATGGGTATGTTTTCCTTATAGATATGTCCTTCCTCATCCTCCTATTCTATTTCTGTATTTCAGGAGTGATGAACATTATAGGCTATATTTTTCAGGATCACAGATGATGTATATTTATGCTGGGTTTGTTCAGTGGGGGCACTGGTGGGAAAATATTAGGGAAAAAGAAAGAAAAACCTGGTTTATTTCTCCCTATTTCTTACTCTTTTTAACTGCCATTTGCTCCAGGACTCCATATCCTGCCAGAGGGGACTTCCATGGTTTAAGCTTCCACTGAGAGACTCATATCTTTGAGATATGATTGAACTCCTGATTCTTCTCTCTGTTTCACAGACCTAGAGTTGGTATGGCCTTCCATAGCTCTTAAAAAAAATTTTTTTGTATAAGAAATACAAATCATATCTCATATCTCAATCAAATCTCAAAGATATGAAACTATGAGAGACTGTGGACTCTGAGAAACAAACTAAGGGTTTTGTGGGGGATGGGGATGGAGTGAGCCTGGTGGTGGGTATTATGGAGGGCATGTATTGCATGGAGCACTGGGTGTGGTACATAAACAATGAGTTTTGGAACACTGAAAAAATATATAAAATAAAAATTAAATTTTTTTTTTTTTAATTTCTTAAGTAGACTCCAGGCTTAGCATGGAGTCTAATGCAGGGCTTGAACTCATGACCCCAAGATCAAGAACTGAGCTAAGATCAAGATCAGAGGCTTAACCAACTAAGCCACCCAGGTACCCCAATGAGTACCTATATTTCTTAATTTCTGGAAGACTTTATTTTTGAATATTTCACTTCTTGGAAGTTCTATAGCTTATATAATTATTAGTATTGAAGATGCCCTATCTTAAATATTCAAGAACTTTTGTTTCCTGGTTAGATTCTGACTAATATAGATACCTTTCACAATACTATATAGCTTTGGTAATTGGTTGATTTGAAAGAATGACAGTATTACATAGTTAACTTTTTAAAAAATATATTAGAAAGGGAATAATAAAAAATAACCAGCAACCTTGACCCCAACATAATAAAGGCCATATATGAAAAACACTTGTGCTAACACTGTACTCAATGGTGAAAGACTGAGAGTTTGTTCTCTATGACCAGGAACAAGACAAAGAATACCCATTTCTATCACTTGTATTTAACATAGTACTGAAAGTTGTAGCCAGAATAAATAGACAAGAAAAAAAAAAATAAAAGGCATCCCAGTTGGGAAGGAAGGTATAATATTATCTCTGTTTACAGATGACTTGATTTTTTGAGAAGAAAGCCATAAAGATCTCTCTCACTCTCTCTCTCTCACACACACACACACACACACACACACCTAATAGAACTAATAAATTAGCAAAATTGCAGGATTCAAAATCAACATGCAAAAATCAAAAATTGCATTTTATACAAAGGAAATTATCTAAATAATTCCATTTATAATAATATCAAGAAGAATAAAATAGGAATGATTTAAGCAAAGAGACAAACACTTGTACAGTAAAAAACATAAAACATTGTAGAAAGATATTAACGAAGACACAAATAAATGGAAAATTATCCTATACCCATAGATTGGGAGACATAATATTGTTAATAAGTTAATACTACCCAAAGTGATCTACAAATTCAATGCAATCCCTATCAAAGTCATACTGGCATTTTTTGAACAGAAAAATCCAATGTAAAATTCATACAAAATCCCAAGGAACATGAAATAGCCAAAAAATTTTTTTTTTGAAAAATAAAAACAAAGTTCAGGTCTCATACTTCCTGATTTCAGAACTTACTCCAAAATGACTGTCATTAAACCAGTATGTTACTGGCCTAAAGACAGACATATGACCTATGGAATAAAAAGGAGAGCTCCCAATTAAACTCTCACACATATGGTCAGGTAATTTCTACAAGACCATTCAATGGGGAAAGAATAATTTTTTTTCAACAAATGGTGATGAAAAAATTACAGATCCACATAAAATAGAATGAAGTTGGATTCACAGCATATAAAAGATTAGTAAAAATAGATCAAACACCTAAATAGGAGAGCTAAAGCTATCAAATTCTTAGGGGAAAAAAAAATAAAAGAAAAACTTCATGAAAAACTAACTAAATAAAAAATATATAAAAATATAAAAATATATAAATATAAAAATATAAAAAATAAAAGAAAAACTTCATTGCATTTGACAATATCTTGGATATGACACCAAAACATAGGCAACAGAAGTAAAAAAAAAAAAAAAAAAAGCTGGATTTCATCGAAATTAAAACTTTTGTGCTTAAATACGGAGAACAAACTGGTGGTTGCCAAAGGAGAGGTGGATGGGGGGATGGGTGATATAGGTGATGCAGATTAAGGAGTATACCTGCTGTGATGAGTTCTAGGTGATACAGGTAAGTGTTGAATCACTATATTGTACACCTGAAACTGATATGAACACTGTATGTTGATTATTCTTTAATTAAAAATGACAGAAAAATACTTTAGTGCATCAAAGGACACTATCAACAGAGTAAAAAGGAGGCAACCCACAGAATGGGAGAGGATACTTGAAAATCATACATCTGATAAGAAATTAATAGCCAGGATACATAAAGAACTTCTAAAACTCAACAGCACTGACAATAACAACAAAATGACTGGATCAGAAAATGAGCAAATGACCTGAATAAACATTTTTGCAAAGAATGTGTACAAATGGCAAATAAACACGTGAAAAGATGTTCAACATCAATAATTTTTAGGGAAATGAAAATCAAAAACCACAATGAGACATTAGTTCACATTTATTAGGATAGCTATTACTTTAAAAAATAAAATTAAAAAAGAAACAGCAGTTGGTGTGGATATGAAAACATTGGAACACTTGTGCATTGCTAGTGGGAATGTAAAATGATACAGATGCTGTAGAAAAAGGCATGATCATTCCTTACAAATGAAAACAAAGAATTACCATATGATACAGCAATTTGACTTCTGGATATATATCCCAAATAAATTAAAATAGGGACTCGAACAGATATTTATACAACTATATTCATAGCAACAATATTCACAATAACCAAAAGGTAGAAGCAAAACATCCATCCACAGATAAATGGATAAGTAAAATGTAAGATAGGTAGATGATAGATGATAGATAGATGATAGATGGATGATGGATAGGAATCTACATCTAGATCTATATGTTTCCTCTGTGTAACTATAATCCACTATAATATCAGGAATATTATTCAACATTAAAAAGGAAGGATATTCTGATGCATTCTACAACATGAATGAGCCTTGAAGATTTTATGCTGAATGAAGTAAGCCAATCACAAAAGGGCAAATACTGTTATGATTCCACTTGGATGAAGTACCTAGAGGAGCCAAATTCACAGAGAAAGCAAGAATAATAGCAGTTGTCAGGGGATGTGGGGAATGGGGAGTTAATGTTAATGCATAGAATTCCAGATGGGGAAGATAAAAAAAAATCTCTGAAGAAGGTTGGTGGTGATGATTGCACAACAATGTGAATGCATGAATCACTGGACTGGACAATTAAAAGTGGTTAAAATAATAACTATTAGTTATGGTATTTTACCACAATAATAAAAAAGGCACCAGTAAACACCCTTTAGTTATATTCCACCTTAATGCTTAAAAACATGAATGGTAATATTGGATAGATAGATACGTAGATGATAGATTGATCTTCATGGCTTTTTCTTTATTACCAACATACAAATATATATTAACAAAAAGAAACATCAGTGGAAGCTTCTTTCAGTTGTACCCTAAACTGTTCCATAAGCAAGAGTAGGAAAGTATCCATCATTTAGTTCTCTAGAGGAATCTTATTTTGTTTACGATGTATGTCTTTTTGTCTTCTTTTTCTCTATTGTTCACTCTCTATTTGTAATTATCCTCCAAAAGATATACAGTTAGAAGGAGATTAACAATTTGTCCTCCAATATTTAATAAATGACTAATCTGAAATAACTTGTTAGATTAGAATTTTTGGAATTCACAGACATGTAGTAAGCAAGAGAACTTTCAGGCAGTAGATGCAATTCAACTTGCAGGAGTAAGAGCAGCAACTTATCTTACTCATATCATCTCTTTTATTTCCATTTATTTTGTCAATCCAACTAAAATCAAGCAACTTTGACCATTAATGTCCTAAGAACACGCTCCCGTATTTTCTTGGTCCTTACTCCATACACAATGGGGTTGAGGAAAGGGGGCACCAAAAGGTACATATTTGCAATAAAAATATGGATATGTGCAGGCACATTCTTCCCAAAACGGTGAGTGAAAATGGAAAAACCAGCTGTGGAATAGAACACAAGAATAACACAGACATGTGATCCACATGTGCCCAAAGCCTTAAAGCCAGCTTCTCGGGATGGCAGGCAGAATACAGAGCGGAGGATGAAGGCATAGGATACAGCAATGAGGATGGCATCACATGAGCCAATGATAGAAGCCATACTGAGGCTATAACTCTTGGTGGCCCTTATGTCCATACACGCCAACTTCACCACAGCCATGAACTCACAGTAGGTATGGGCAATGATTCGTGTTCTGCAGTAGGGCAGCTGTTTGAGCAGGATGGGATGTGGAGAAAAGAAGGCTATGCCCCGAATCACCACAATAATACCCATTATGGTGATGCGAGCATGAGTGAGAATGGTGGTATGGCGCAGTGGATGACAAATGGCGACATAACGGTCAAAGGCCATGGCCAGGAAAAAGCCTGATTCCATAGCAGTAAAACTGTGAATGAAGAACATTTGGGTCAGGCAGGCATCAAAAGCAATGTCATGGGCTCCGAGCCAGAAGAGACAGAGCATTCGTGGCAGGGTAGATGTGGAGAGGACCAGGTCGGTGATGGAGAGCATGCAGAGAAAGAGGAACATAGGCTCATGGAGGCTTCGCTCTGCCCTCACCACAGCCAGGATGGTCACATTCCCCACCACAGCCACCACATACATGTAGCAGAAGGGAATCCCAATCCAGACATGCAGGTGCTCTAGTCCCGGGATGCCCATCAACAGGAAGGTGACAGGAGAGGGATGAGAAGTGTTGAGAGGAGGCATGTTGCTTTTCCCTTTGGTTTTTGTCACTACTTCTGAAGAGGAAGCAGCACAACCAGATGCTGAAAACATGGAGGTTCAGTTCAAGAAGACCCTTAATGATTTGTTGCTAAAAACAATTTAAGTCATAATCATGTGTATTTAAATTCACTAGGATAATAATGCTAAAATCAGTAATAACATACCAAATGACAGAAGTACAGAAAGATAATACTTACTATATCAGGGACCTATATGTCACCTTGCCCCTTCATTTGCAATAAAAGATTCCATCTTTAGTCACACCTGTACTTAGTTCAACAAATATTTACTGAGGGGTTATGAATTTTTTCCTTAAGCTCTCATTCAGTATTTCCCTCAGGTCAGTGAGTTTTCCATAACTGGAAGTGATCTAGCAGAGACTTTGTGAAAATATCTAGGAGTTATTGAAAGGACCCTTATAATACACTCTGCCATTTATGTGAGGAATAGAAATAAATGGTCTTTGTCCCTCTCTGGACATGATACTGAAGTCTTTGGCACAACTTTTGAAGTAGCATCAATTCAATTTCTATCTTTAGCCTTTCATTTACGACTCTGCATATGTAACTAATCTGTTAAAGTTATCAACGATGTTACTTTTTTCTTTTTGCCTATTTCTTTCTATCATGTACTACTTAAGTAGGCACATATTGTTTTTTTGAACCAGCAGATATCTGTTTGTAAAGATAAGGTATTTCTTAACATTAACCCCTCACTACTTTTTTATCCTCTTTTTTTTTTCTGATTTAGATTATTTCACTGCACAGCTGTATACTAATTGTGCTCCTTCATTTATTGATCCAGAAACCCAAATTTCCAAACATGCACAACAGTTTATTTATTGGACTGGTATATTTACCTAATGATACTTTAGGCACCAGTTACTGACTGTAGTGGGTTTCTTTATACCTCTTCCTATAGTTCCAACATATAGTCAAACCTCTGTGGCAGAGAAGCCCTGGGATAAAGGGGTTGAGCATGAGGCAGGAGCTGAGAGAGCTGAAGAAAAGAACTAACTTTTAAGTCACTACAAATACTCTAGTTGTAGAGTAACCCTTGGTTACTAGTTTTCTGCTTTTCTTATCGCCTATTAAGGCAGTACTTAGTATGTATGTGGTTATGTTGTCATCAGTTTTTAAGGAGAATCTGCTTTCCTTATATCTCAAACAAATTCTCATAAATGCAATATGAACTAATAAGTTACACAGTTATCGCTATATAGGCTTTCCTGAATAATGCCAAAACTCTTATATTCCATATATATATATGTATATATATATATATATATACATATATATATATATATATATAGTTTCTAGGCTTTTACACTTACTAGAACCTAGCTTTATTATAGTGAAAAACACTTGAAGAACACAACTATGGCTTTCCCCCTGCCCATGATTTAGCTTTTTAACAAGTAATTACACTATAACTTTAAACAGGTAATATATAAGGCAAATTTTTTTCCCAAAGGAGAGGGAAGGATGAGTTACACAGAAATGACAGCAAGGGATCAAATTAAGTTTAGTGAATTAAGAAAAGTCTTCTACTTAGGCTAGAATGTGAAGATTGCATGAGTTTTTCCCCTGGGTTCTGAATATAGATATTTAGGTATAGATATAAATAATGCATATCTACCTATCTGCACCCATATGCACACACACATAAACAAAGGAAAAGGAAAGGTGCATAAGCGAAGTTCCACCTGAAGGACAATCATGATGTAATGAAATAAATCTAGTGTAGCTGGGACTCAAAGATTACAAAGAGATTAAAGTGAAATAAAATTCTGTGAGTAAACAAAGGTCCCCAACATTCATGTGTAAGCACATAACCAATAGGAAATGTTATAATCTAGACTAATGTAGTGGCTATCACTTGTTTAGGTGCTAAGTACATGTTGGAGTTACAGATACAATACAGAGCATTTGCAAAAATGGAACTAGAAAGTACACACACTCACAGATACACACACGCTGGTTTCTAATTTTTTTTTCTTGTACAAACACACATAATACAACCTCTATGGTATCATCTCCCTGAAAATGCCAACCTGTCATTGAGTATGGAGATCATGAAGTAGCCTTATTTTGTTCCTTCAATAGATTCATATAATATGAAATATGGTCAAAATAAGAGATGATCCTCACTTTATGATATCCTTAAAAAGATCTTTGCTTCCTAGAATTTTTTTCTTCATTTTATCCATAAAGAATGAAAAATGTGCATTCTCTCAGTTTCAAAGAATTACATCTTCCCTCTTGACTCCAGGACATTCAGAAAGTAAAAAGATGTTAAGAAAATCCCATGTCCTTGAAAGTTTTCCTTAGATCATTCAGATTATATCTTTCTCTCCATCCATTTCTTGTTTCATAACCTTAATTAGTTCATGAAGAAACTGATTCAGAACAAAGAAGCAGCCTAAACATGCAGTTTCTATATATAGCAGCTTCAACATGGTAATCTCAGAGGATAAGCAGGGATAACATCTGACACAACCAGGTCCTTATGGAATCACTAGGAGAGGGGCAGTATTAGTACTTTGGTAAAAGGTTTGATAATCTTCCTAATTTCAGGGATAGTTACAGATGAAGCCATCTCTTAGTATTTTGGTATAATTTATCAATCACATAACAGAACCTGAAGGGAATTGAAAAAATACAGAACACATTCTTTATTCCTTGTATAAACCAACTTCATCCCAATGTCAACTTGAGACATAAACTTTGCAGGCCAGAAGAGAGGGGGATGGTATGTTTAAATTATTTTAAAAAATAACCAAGAATTCCTTATCTAAAAAACTGCTTTTCAAAAATAAAGGAAAAATTAGAACATTTCCAGGTACACAAAAACTGAGAGAGTTCATTATCTAGACATTCTCTGCAAGGAATGCTAAAGGGAGTCTTTTATGTTGAAATTCAAGGAAGTTAGAGAGTAACTCAAACCTATACAAAAATACAAAGTTCTTCAGTAAAGATAAAGCACACACAGATATAAAAACCAGTATGATCACAATTTTGGTTCATAACTCTACTTTTTATTCTGCTACAGGATAGGAAGGACAAAAGCACAAACAGAATTATAAGTCTAAGTTAATGGGTATAGGACATACAAGGATGTACTTTGTAACATTAATAACATAGAGTGTGGATGGTGAAGCTCTAAAGGGAGGAGTAGAACTTTTGTATGCAATTGCAGTCTAGTTGTTATCAGTTTCAAATACATTGTTATAAATTTAGGATGTTATATATAATCCCTCTGGCAATCACGAAGAAAATATTTGTCAAATATTTACAAAAGGAAATGTTAAGGAATCAAGTAGTGTCATTGCAAAAATTAAAAAAAATACAAAGGCAGGCAGTAAGAGAGGAAAGGAGGGACAAAAAAAATTATAAGACATACAGAAAACAATAAGATGATAATAGTAAATCTTTTCTTATGAACAATTATTTTAAATGTAAATGTTTAAAAATCCCCAGTCAAAACAAAGAGTGGCAGGATGGATTAAAACAACAGAATCCAGGGGCACCTGGGTGGCTTAGTGGGTTAAGCCTCTGCCTTCGGCTCAGGTCACAGTCTCAGGGTCCTGGAATCGAGCCCCGAATTGAGCCCCACATCAGGCTCTCTCCTCAGAAGGGAGCCTGCTTCCCCCTTCCTCTCTGCCTGCCTCTGCCTACTTGTGATCTCTCTCTCTCTCTCTGTCAAATATATAAATAAAATCTTTAAAAAAAAAAAAAACAAACAGAATCCAGACTTCAGTTTTCCAGTCTAGCATGTGAGACAGTGGAAGTTTACACTGCACCCTAACAACAAGTAAAAAGCAGAACCAACTGAAAAGCCAGCAACTCTTCTTGGACCCATAAGAAAAGCAAGATTACAGGGCAAACTGCTTCTTCTGAAGCTGAAGAAACCATTAAGTTAAGACAGAAGAATACAATTTATTGGAGGAGAAATCTCCATGGGAAGCAGTGCCAGGATAAGAAAATACAAACTACAATTGACAAGTTGCTAGAGGCTTAGTGTGGGCAAGCCTGAGAGATAAACTCCAGGGGAACCCAGTCATTGATCGGTCCCCACTCTTCCATAAGTTTTACATACAGGAACTCATCAGGTCCTCACAGTGTTATAAAAGAAAATCCTCTCATTCGGCAGGGGCAGGGGAAAGTGAACCATTTTTAAATACATCACAGCATTCTGTTCTTGTTAACAAGGTCTGCATTTAGGAAAAACTAGTTAGCCAAACCCTAACCTGCAAAGGTTTTTTCAGAGTCTAACTGGTCTGGAGGAAAGGAAATACTCAATTCTGGCTGGCTCTAGCCTTCCAGGTGGGAAAAGGGAAAGAGCCAACTTCAGTCCACCCTAGACATCTGGTTCCTCCTAAGTGGAATGAAGGGGAAATTGGGTATAACACAGGAAATTTATAGCTCAGATGTAAAAGTTTACTAAAAGACTGAGACCTAGTCATGAAACAATGAGCAATCCCCCTCTCCCTACATCTTATTGCCACATTACTAAAGGCCTATTTGTGGCAGTTTTCAAACCCAGGACATCGTGTCTAGCTATAAGAAAGAAATTACAAGACATACTAAAAGGCAAAAAACACAATTTGAAGAGAAAGAGCCAAAGCTGGAACCAAACTTAGATACGGCAAGGATGTTGGGATTCCTAGACCATGACTTTTAAAAACTTTTAAAAACTATTATTAAAATACTAAAATAAAATACTAAGGACTCTATTGGACGAAACACATCATGCAAGAACACATGGGCCATGTAAGCAGATGGATGGAAATCCTAAGAAATAACCAAAAAGAAATGCTAAGTTTCAAAAAAGTAACAGAAATGAAGAAAGACTTTGAGGGGATTATTAGCTAGCATATTGGACATACTAAACAAAGAATCTCTGATCATGAGAATAGCTCAATAGAGACTTCCCAAAATGAGAGGCAAAGAGAAATAAGACAAAAAAAAAAAATGAGGAGTCAAGATGACGGAGAAGTAGCAGGCTGAGACTACTTCAGGTAGCAGGAGATCAGCTAGATAGCTTATCTA